TGCTTTGATGTTAAGAGGATAAGGAAATATTCTTAACCCTTTAGTCTACAACCACGTGTGAGGCTCGTGGTCAGGTTTTCGAGCCAAAACTGATTATCACGAGCCTGGCCCGTGGTACGTCTGTCGGGCCGAAACTGACTATCACGGGCCTGGCACGTGGTACGTCGACTGGGCCAAATGGAAATACGACGTGTTACACCCGTGGTTTGTCGATGTGCCCCACGTAAGTCATTGCGATTGGTACAACTTAAGACAGATTTTCTGAGCCATGGAATGGCTCGAAGGCTCGGCAATTCTGTTTACGTTTTGGGGTTAAACGATACAGTTTCCTTGTCGAAGTGAAACAATTGGAAATGTTCTTGTTAATTATGCTATTCGACCTAGGTAAAGAAGCCTTTTTGGCAAGACTTAAAATTCGGGAATTCGAATATTCTTCCTATAGTAATGGAAATTTTTTGACAATTTACATTTTTGGAATAATATTCTATCGATATATTGCTCCCTAAAAATTCTTCAAAATTCCTCGCAATAAATAAATAAATAAAGTATTCTCTAAGAAAGCGAAAAAATTTTGCGGAAAAATCGATGCATCCGAATAGAGAACCCGTTAGAATAATCACCATTTCTTGTAGACTCGATCACGAAGAGGAGTTTAAAATCGTCAAAAGCTCAATCGTCGAGTGCCTGTGCCGATTCGTCGACATTGAAAAAATCACCGCTCTCGCGATCCGCGAACAGAAGAAGCTCGACGAAATTCTCGAGGATGAACTCGAGCACCGATTCCGTGAGCTCGAAACGAGACTCCTTGTGCTCTCGCAAACGCGAGACAGTGTCATCCGGCGACGGAGGCGAGAGAGAATCTGTGAACTGCACCACGATCAGCTCCATCGATTCGGAAAGCGGTCGTAGCGAGTCCAGCAAGCTTCGCGACGACCATTCGTACAACTCTCGCGACTCTTCTGTCACCTCCAGACGCTGTGCTACGGAGAAACCTCGAGTTCTGCCATGGATAACAGGAAATCCGCGAATATCGTTCAACAAGAAGTACGGAAACCCTAGTAAAACGTCGTCGAAGATGTTCGAGGCATCCAGAAGAAACTTGACGACGAAGTCGAGTTTCCCGACCAGGGTGCGACCTAGCAAACAGTCTATCAGACACGATTCCAACTTCGACCAGACATCGACCAATCCGTGCGTGCCGGATAAGAATACCGAAAGAGACGTATCGAAGTTAGGATCGATGGCTGGGACAGATGACACGAAGTTGGGTAATCAAGTTGGCAAGCTGGAGGCAATTAAGAGCGAAACCGAGGAGCTTCCAAAGACAGACTCCCGATCCGCAGCCAATTTGTCTATCAGGAACGTACACGACGATTCTTCGGAATGGTCACGACGCAGGTCGACGAAGAATTGGTCCCAGGCTAGCTCGCTGAGGGTTCGAATCTCCGAAACGATCGATTCCTCAGCGGAGATCACGCGACAGTCTTCCGGCGAGCCAAGGTTAGCTCGGAGACGAACAAAGCAAGAGGAGAACATGGAAGAGTGCTCGGAGAAGTTGTGGAAACAGGGCCAGCCGAAGAAACTCGGGAAAGTTTTCAGCGACTCCGGACAGAGATCGCGAACTGTCAGCCCGGTGCTGGCGAAGCAGGCTGTTCCTAAAATGGAACACCTCAGGGAGACGTTCCCAGCGAAAGTACAGCTTCGCGAGGACGTTTCCAAGGATTCGGATAGAGTCGAGGCTAACGGAAAGCGGGTAACGAAGGAAGTAACCGAGGAGAATATAGGGGTGTCGAAAGATTTCGCTAGGAAGCGAGAAAATGATCGTCGAACGAAAATGGATACGAGTCTGTTGAAATCAAACGCGCACAGGAAGAGAAGAGAATCTGCGGATTCGTCTAAAATTAAGGAAGAGGATAAGACAAGCGACGTTAATCGCAGAAGGGCTTCAGGTGCGATCAGGAATTTTGGATCAACGAGCATAGCTAAAAGCAGCCTTTCCACTGCCGCTAAGCTGTCCTCTGCGTCGAAGAACTCGCAACAAAGAACGACAGGCTCGAAGGTGAACGCCGGTTTGCATGATAATGTGATTGGCGCTCGATCGATGCAAATCAGGTCGAGCAAGTTCCCTGCGAACGAGAGGAAGCCTTCGAGGAGTGGAAAGCCGGAGAAAAGCGAAGAGAATCGACTGGGATTGAAAGAAAATGGTCCCGATGGCTTGAAGCTGCCACGCCGCGACTCCAAAGCTGGCATAGCGATGCAGGCTGGCTTGAAGAAGTATATAAAGAAGTTGAAACGGGTACTGTCCGATCGCGAGAACGCGGATATCGGCGAGTTGGCCTCGCTCAGTCTCACTGACGCCATCTTGCCGGACTTAGAATCCACCCTGTCGTCGGTGGAGGTCCAGCAGGTGCAGAACCTGCTGAAAATGGCGGAAAAAAAGTCCGAATTCGTGGAGGAAAATTTATCCGGATTCGAGGGAAATGCGTTGTGACGTTTTCTTCCCGTGTATATATATTTTCCTAATTTTATTATAATAGTTGTATACGTGTGCTTGGTTTGGGAACAGTTTACAGCACTGTCAACTGTGTTTCCGTGAAGCATTTTTACTCCTTGGAGATATAACGTAATTTGGTATAATATACTTTGATATATTTCGACGTGCTTATATTTCAGTAATCCTGGTGATTGTATCGGGTAGAAATTTTGTTTATCTCTTTTAAGATTAAACGTATAATCCGAATTTATTTGACGTTGTTTGTACAGCCGTAAGTTTGGATAATCACAGCGAGCATCGTAAACGAAAGATTTAAAGGTCTGCTTGAGAAAGCAAAGTTAAAAGAAAATGCAGGGGAAAGATGGTCGAAAGGTTCTCGCACCTGTTACCATTTTAATTAAGTTATTCAGATAGTCAGGGTGTTATTTATGACAATAATCTCGTCGCGTGGTAAGTTCCGTGGCTGTTCATGAAATATTAATGTTACATCAACGAAAGCGTGCTCGCGATATTTATTTTACGTGCAATTGTTGTTCCCCTTGCGAATGCCAGCACTCTATACGACTACAGTCGTATATTTTCGTAATTAACAGCAACATTTTCCGGAGCTTATATTTTCTCGGGATAAAATTTTGAGCTTCCCGTAAAACGATGTTGTTTTTTACACATAAATTTCATTTTTGTCTTTTCAACGAAAAAAAAATTTGACGGATTTCCGCGTATCAATAACGAAAACATATTTCCCGACTTTTTTAGTTGACGACACAAATTTTATACATATGATATAAAAATATAACATCGCGATTACATTACTCGTTGGAAAAGTAAGCTGGACGAAGGAGAAGGATTCTTTGACGACTGTATTCCTATTTAACGACTTAAAACATTGTCCTTTGTGGAAAGGACAGGCAAACGTAGTTCCATTCATTTCATCACGAATAACCAACCATCTCTCAATTGCATTATTATCTACGTTCTATACCGTGGCCCTTTGACTGTCCACGAGGTTCGCTCTTTTTGAAGACCTATTTCGCAGAACTCACGTACCATGCCCTTATTCGTAGAAAAATATTTATACCTTGCTCAACAAACTTTTGCGTTAGTCTAATCTACTTTGTATTAAACATGCTATCAGTAAATTGCACCGAAAATGATGCATTTAACCCTTTGCACTCGACGATATTTTGGCTAAAGAAGAGAAGGAGTTCAAAGATTTTCTGCTGATGATATTTTTTTGAGCAGTAAATAAGAAATTGTATAGTAATTAACACGTAGAATTATTTGATTTCGATACCTCTTTAATTTGACATATTAATTAATATCGATCTCCAAAATTTTATTAAATGGCGACTGAGGATTAATAGATGAACCTATTTCTAAATACGAATGAAATCCAACATCGGTGAAAACAAGTTCCTTTCTGTACATTTTTAAATAATCGAAAAAATACGAAATATTTCCCTCCTATCCGATCTCTACTTGGATATAATACGTATAATGAAATTAGAAAGTATTATCCTTTTATTTAAAAAATTCCTCCTAGTTCGATATTTCCTGCGGTATAATGTAATCTTTTGGCAGACGCTTACCTGTAAGCAAACTAAAAATATTTCTCATCGCTGACGGAATACCACACGAACAATGATCTCAAATTCCATTATCTATTTCCAACGCGCTCTCCACATTCTTCCACGCCTACTCATGGCCAAAAATGCCGTTGACGAGGTTCGATCTTTTCCCCCATTCGAGCACGTACGAACTCGATTCCTCGTCAATTAAGTGTACGAGACTCGTTAAACGAGACCAACTATTCTTTTAGTGATTTATGCGATTCGTGCCGTCGACAGTCACCGTGTCGACGACGGCCCTATTAATAATGCATAACAAGGAAGGAGGACGACGTCGACGACGAGACGTAAACTGTCCGAGAGGAGATTCGCGATCGCGTGCACGCGCGCGCACGCGAGACAACTTTCCACCATGACACCCACTTGCAAAATACACGACCATCTCGCGACTCTTCGTATCCCGATACTGTCTGCAATCTCGTTTAAGCTTTACGACGCGGCACTTAACGTTCGTGCTGCCCCTGCGATTTTCTTCCGTGGTTCCCAGGGGTTCCTGCTCGGAAGTGAATCTCCCGTTGCACAAGAACATTCGGGGGAAGTGAATCTATCCTTGCCAAAGAAGGTTCGGGACTTCGCTCTGTACAGGATGTAGATAATGAGTCGAAGGATATTGTTTTATGTGCTGGAACGTATAGATACCTTTAGGATTGATCCTGTATAATTAGGTGTCTTCAGGATAAGGATTGTGAATGTTTGAGTAGAATTGTAGCTTTGGATATAGTACTGAATTCGTGTCTTTGGAAAATGGAAGTGACGATCTGTAGAAAATAAAGTTATTGTTATATATGGATATGTTTTGGTAGTTATTGTATAATGTGAAGATACTAAACCTTGGAACTTTTTAAAATTTTGGTTGCTTTAGTGTGTTTATCTAGTACCTTTTTTAATTTTTTGATACTTTTTCTTATCTTGGGGTTTTACCGAATCTCTGGCTCTGTGAAGTCATGTTATCTTATAGTTTGCTGTGTGTATTCTGTTTGTCTTCTTTCTAAAGAAAGGCACGTCTTTAGCCAGTGTTCTGGGTTACTACAGTGTACCGTAACTTGTAAAATTTGTTGCTTACGTAGCGCATTATAACTCAATGTATTTTCTTTGTTCTCTTCAAGTCTTATCTTTAACTTGTTTTCCTCCCTACGTTTTTTCTTTTAACTTCTACTGTTTCTCGGCGTATCTAAAACAAAAATTAAATAAAATTAGTTGAAATGTTAATATAGAATTTTCACCTTTTTTTTTTTTAATTCGAAAGAATAAAAATAACGATAAAAAAATACTGCATTTTTCGTTATCAGTACTCCATATGTTAAGAATTAATGTGCTTTATATTTTCGACAAAAATTCACCGTTATTGACGCGTTTATGTATTCTTTTTATCAAATACGGTAAACAAATAATTTTTTGATAAATAAAATTTCTCGTCGTTATATACACAGCACTTGCGTATATTGATAAAATCTTTGGGGTGTTATTACGATTAAACGCAAAATCGCTCCAAAATGTTCGTACTTTGTTAAAACAAAGTGCCACTTGCGTGTTTATAGGAAATTGCGCGACTACTACGACCATAACCTTAAAAATCTAATCCCTTTAGTACCATGAAAAAAGTAATTCACCGCGCGCTATAACCTCTTGTACGTTCGTCATCGACCATTCCTTACGTTTCACGTCTAAAGCGAGAATTTTATTAAATATTTTACAACGACACGCATTTTATAACTCGACGTATGTTTCGAGACGTAAATACCAAAAACGAGATACTTCCATACTCCTATAAAGCTTGTAATTACTATAAACTTATTACAGTTAATATCCTTCCTCGCTAACAATGGAAAATTTTAGGTTATACGTACTTGACGTATGCTTCGATATAAATACCAAAACGAGATACTTACATACTCCTGTAAAGTTTGTAATTACTATAAACTAATTGCAGTTAATATCCCTCCTCCCTAACAACAGAAAATTTTAGGTTATACAAACGTAACGTACGAGCGATTAACAAATAAATAAACAAAAATCTATAAACAATAAATTACCACTAATGAATTCATTAGCACGCTGTAATATAGGTTATTAGGGTGAAGCACGGTAACAGCTTTTCGTTTGCATAAATCGATGGAACGGAAACACATAGCGGCACCGCGCGTCATCCAAAGAGGTTAAGTTCACGCAAAACAATAATTCAGAAGGCACGAACTGTTGCAGTAACCGGGTCGATGACGATTAAGAAAGCGTGTCCCGAGATTCAGATGACGTTGATTAATATTCGCGTTCGCGTTTACGGAAGTCGTGGAACAACTGATTTATATCCTCGTGTCCGGATGCAGTACGCAATTTCGCTCGTGAAGGGCTTACCAGCGTGCCACGAACAATATTCGGGTCACGCGACTTCTTGCCGTCGGCGTCAGCGTAGTCTCCTCACGGCGACACCAGAGGTCTCTAGCGGCGCTGCAATTTCGACTCGCAACCGGGAAACCGCGCGTTTTAATCGACTACAAATTTTACCACCTGGATGACCGAGATTATAAACGCACGGTATTAGTATCGGCTGCGAGCGGACTGCAAATTGCTCTGAACTTTGAATCAACGTCAATCGAACGCTGTACCGGCGATCAATTTGCGTTAAACAAATTGCGATTGTGCTTGGTAAATTTCCTGCCGGGGCAGCAACGGGGGAGTTAATCTCGCGACTGGCGAATATGGAGATTGCAATTAGTTGGAATTTCTGCTGCGATTTGCCACGGAGGAAGCAAAATCGATATTATTTTTTGCCTTGTTTAAATTATATATTTTCGCCTCTACTTTATCGGGAATTTTGAAATTGACGAAACGAGTATGAGAATTTGCTCGACGCATAGAGATTATTAATTTCGTGTATCGTTAAATAGATTATTAATTAATGCGATTATCCTTTTAGATTAACGAAGTATTTTGCTTGATGCTCGGCGATTTACTTTCCAGAGATATAGGTATTCGTTGCGCGTTGCGTAATGTCGTTAATTGTAAACGTTCCCGCGAAATGAATCGCTAACACGTGTTCATGAGAGAGCTTAAACAACGTTTTATCGACTATTTAAAATTCTGTATAGTAAATAATTCTAACAACGGTGTAGCAGGTGAAATTGAATTTATAGCGCGAATATGCCATAACGATGCACAATACGCCATTCTGATTAATTTTCCACCACTCGGAAAAGCAATTAAATTGCACTGCAAAGTGTTCTTATTTGCCATGTGGAAATTACATTTTTATTCCCAGAATGAAATTACAATTTTTCAATAATCAATCGTATGGAATGCGTGTTCGCGTTCTCAACAATTAATTTGGCAGACAAATTTTCATATTAATTTCAGATGTAACAAATTATTTATATCATAATATATATAATATGCATTATTATATTTATTATGATATAATTATGAATAATGACAAAAATAATTATTTTTATCATAATTCCCTTATATACCCCCATATTCGAAGGGGGTTCCTGAAGTATAGGTAGTCAAACTTTTATTATACTATAATCTGTCTTTGACGATTTAAAAAATACTGTAAACCTAAACGTAAAAGCTTTTCGAGGTATAAGACACATTTTGCTTATATTAAAATTTCAAATTGGCTATAACAAGCAGAATTACAAGGGCACTACCACCAACTTGGCTTTGTAATCGAAGGGACGTATGCGAGGAAAGGGAAATTATGGGGTCCTGTTAGTGGACTCATCAGTAAGCTAACCTAACAAGCCCTTGTGTTAGTCTTGGACACTGACATTAGAGGTTAGGTTCATGAATATATTTGTATAAATGGGATTATTAACTGTGCATTTTTGAGAATATTACATGAGCATTGACCATGGGAAAAATGCCACGTAATTTTGATTTTTACTAAGAAATAAAAATGACAATTACTTGCAATTGACCACGATATTCTTAGGTTAAAAATAGGGAAATTAGTATGTCTCGTAGTAAATAAATAATAATAGCTACTTTCTTCCACTTCTTTTTTATCCCTGTATGTGATTTGCAAAATCTGTCTACTATCCTGCCTCCAAAGTATAGCAATTTCCAGGATATTTTAAGAATTCAATAGCCACGGAATAGAAGAGTTCCAAATCTTTTAAGTCTTAACGTGTACCTGAATTCCATTCGTCTAGACTTAATGTCGAAGGATATTGAATCAAAAGATGATATAATAAATTCAAAAATTTGAAAAATAGGGAATAACAATAAAAAATAAAAGAATTTGAAGCCAAGATAAGAAATTGAACGAATACTTTTCTCTTTTCCTATTTTCAGAAATTTCGTGCAGCACTTCAAACAAACTAATTTACAACGATGCGTTGTACCAAATGCCATAACAGCAAGAGGAAGTTAATACCTTACACGTTTATAGCTGTTTCTGATCTCGTTCTCGATAACAAAATTGGAATCTGCTACCAGCATCTCTAACAATCAGTGCAGCAGAAAATCTTCTAAATTATCACGAATTATTAAAACAATGTAGAAGCACCAGGAAAGCGTAGAAATCTTTTGGGAAACTCTTACAGCACATTACTCTTACAATTCGTGGCTGTAGCTAGCTGAAAGTGAAATCACAGTTTCTTTCGAGATTTCATTTTATTTTGCCAGATTCGTAAATACAAGAACTCATATTTCAGAGCGGGAAAGAAGAGAAAATGAAAGGTGGAGGCAGAATGAGGGAAAGCGAAACATTTGTGGCCATATCTAGCGAGGATAAATCAGTTGAAGAAGGATTTAGGTATCTGTTTGAATTACGAACGCCAATGGTTAATCGGATATCGATCGACATTTAATGATTTACGATCAGAAAAAAGCGAGTCATCGAACAGTGAAACGTCCATCCATGTCGCCTATTTTCGGCGTTTCTTCCTTTTCGACGACTCGTCCAAAAACCCGAAATCGATTTTTTGACGAACGAGGAGCCATTCTATTGATATTCGTAACAGGAATCTTAATAAATTGTCGTTCGATTCCTGTAAATTATTTAACAGCGATTATTTGAACGATCTATCCAGAGGTAAAGATGGAAAAATTATTGATAATTGATGGTAATTGTTGTTTAAAACGGCAATTAATTTGTTTGACAATTTTTACTAATGTTGAATCTAAATTCTAAAAAGGAATAATTGTTGAGAATAATTAAAATTAATATTAATATCTTACTTTGTCTTCGTAGAAATGAAATGATAAATTAACACCGAATACCATGGCAGATTTTAGGAGGAAAAATGCTTTCGACGATGAAGCAAATTAGCTTTGATTTCGGTTGAAGTAATTACTCAGATGAAAATGAAAAGAATGATCGTCGAACTTTGAAGTAATATTAATTTTCTTGGAACTTTCTTGGAAACTTGCTTCCACTTTTGGGTGTACTTATAACCATTTCTTGGAATAAGGGTGAGATGAATATTGTAATTTCGATATTCCAGAGCCAACTTGTGCAAACTTCTAAATGCTTCATAACCATACTGTTCTATTAAAACTGCAAATTCTTTCCCAAAATCGAAGTCTGGAAGAGTAGACAATCACGTGAAACAAGGAAGGACCATGTGTTCCTTAATCTTTTGTAATCTTTCATTTCCATTAAATTCATTTAGATTGTCTCTCAAGCATCCAAATAATTTCTTAAAGACCTACATAGAAAATTTGATGGCTCGTTTACGAAGAAACGAGTTCTCAGGAACCTGTAACGAGCTCCAAGAATTTATTCAACATTGACACTCATTTGCGTTCCAAGATCGATTCGGTCGCGTCATTGTTACACGATGATTCAGTCCTCTCGCACGAGGCGTATTAGATCATCTGGGAAAGTGTTCCAGTAGCTTAGTCCGCGATGATAGACACGGCATTCCGTTCTACTTATTCGCAATCGCGTGGCCAGCAACGTTCACTCGTCACGCATACGAGAGGCTATAGTTAACCGAACACTAGAAACTGTCGATAAAGCTTGACGAGGCAATATCCACTTCCTAGTGTACCAATTGATCGTTAAGATCGCTCTTTGTCACGATGACTATCAATGAGCTGTTTATCACGTCGCTCGTTTGTGGATCAATCGGTTTGCTAATAGTCTGCCTACGAATGATCAGCTGAAATTTGACCAACAATTTCTAGCACGGATTTTTACAGGTACCCTAAGTACTTGTATTTGAGGAACAATAATGTTAATAAAATTAAAAAATAAGCGATGTGAAATATTAAAGTAACGATCGATGATAAGTTACGACAATGAATTATCGTTTTAAATTAATTGTACGTATCAAAGATACCTAAATATTTAATTGAAAGATTGGATCTCGTGTTTTATATTTCAAAAGAGTGTTGACAGGTGTAATTGCATATTTGATGCCTTAAGAATTTGCATTTGATTACTACTCACTTGACTACTGACTACTTGGTCAGTGAGTATATGAATTAAGCATGACTTGTTCGATGGAAAATTTAGGGTTTCATAATTGTCTGGAATTTTTCTTGGAATTTTCTCTTAATATTCATCTACCACGTCAGCTGCGAATGGTGTATGGTGGCTTATGCTAACAGCATGCGTGCTCGAAATTTCATGCCATACAGATATTTAAGGTTATAAGAAAATCGTATTCTGTTTTGAGAGAAAAGGTACGAGAAGAGTATATCTCTGCGCAAAGAAAGATCACGTCACAGTGGCAAGTGAGCCAGAATTTCAGAAGCGTGATTACACATGCAAATCTCAGTGGAACTCGTGATCCCCTAAAAGCAGTGGTGTAATAGTGTCCTTGACCGACCAGATTTATTGACCTAGAGTAGTGCCTATATATGAGTCCTTTTAATTCAAATATCCAACTTACACTCATGGTTGAGGTTATCCTCGCGATTAAGACCAAGGTCGAGCCCAGCTCGGAAGGGTTATCAATTATTAAAACCAATATAATCAATTATTTAAACGATTCCTTACTCTCCTTGAGCATCTTCAATGAATCCAATTTGCATGCACACTCGTCGTATTTAAGGTAACAATATCAGCTTGAAGTTCATCGAAACATTGTTATTCCTAGTCGTTACCTAATATTTCATAAGTTCGTCCATTTCCAGTAACGATTTTTCATTGAAATTTCTTCGAATAAAAATGGAAATCCATTTGATAAAGATTCCAAACGATAAATAGCAATCATTTCTGTATATACGATAGTACACAGCTCGCTGTACCTCGTACACTGCCTGCATGCCCCTCTCCAATCAACTTTCTGTCGCAATAACGGAGTGGGGGAAGCGCCGAGCGCAGCGACCTTGACGCGGCCAACGTCGAGCCAGACTATAGACTAATCGAGACGATTCTGTTCGCAGATCAGCACACGAGACAGTACCAGCTCCAGCAGCTGCGCGAGCAGCAGCAGCGCCGCTCTTCGAGGACCGACCACGTAGCTTCTCCGACGTCTCATTACGGCAGGGGCCGTGTCGAGACGAGAATATTGCCGCGGCGCAAATGCTGCACGTAAAGGATCGGCCCCGGTTGTTCTCCAACAAGAGCCGCAATAACCGAAAGTAATTTAACTGTTGAAGAAAGGCCGGTCTGCGGCTCGCGCATAAATTATGTCAAGGGTTCCTCTCGCCGAAGAAGCGGAGGGGGAAAGTAAAGGAGGCGCTAGCAGTTCGTTCCTCGCTTTAATTAAGCCTAATTAAAATCCGTCGATTTCGCGCGGCCCACGACCGATCGATTCGATCCAACGAATCCGTGATCAATATGATTATTTCCTCCTTTTCTGCTTTTACCGAACGATCCTCGCGTCGAGCGATCGGTGATCTTTGGCATTTAACCCTTTTGGCGTTTATTGGCGCGTGTTTCAAATTGACATTCGTCTCTGAGACACTGTATATCGCTGATCAATCATGATACCTTAATTCTTCGATTTTTTTCTTTTTTCCTCTTCTTTTTGTGTCTGAGTTATGGGAGATAGTTTAATACTTTGAATTCTTAATCGACACTCGTGCCCTATATAATTGGGTATCCTTTTTTTTTGTAATTTGAAAATCAGTATTACAACGGAATTAAACGGTTCGTGAAATTTATATCTCGGATATTGCATGCAAATTTTCAATGATTATGATTAATTAGAATTCCAACAACGATTTGGTATCGTTCTATTATCGATAGACTATTCGCTTTTTCTTTCTCAATGACGTAATTATTTTACTCGATTATTTCCTCGATCCTCTCGGGAACTCGGGGATTGGCCTTCAAAGATCACGAAACTCGGCACACCGTGCGAAAAATTGAAATATATTTCACTCGACTGTACATTCGTAGACTCACTACAAGTACGTAATTACGTTCAAGCAAATATCGCTATACGACACTGCCTTTTTCAATTTATACGTAATAATGATAAGTTCTCGAAATTAGGAGAGAAAGAGAGAGAGAGAGTGAGAGAGAGAGAGAAAGAGAGAGAGAGAGAGAGCTCAGATGAGGAATTCGGGTGTTTCTTTTACTATGTTCTTTTTTTATCTTGTTCTTTGTAATATACATATATATACATACATGTATTCGATACATAAATTTTATACATTTATTTTATTGTAATGTCGTTACGATGGTAATCGAACGTTATTCTTTAACAATGATATGCGAGTGGCGTGGAGGGGGTATCAATAAATAATAAACGAAATTTCGCTTACACTAAATCGTTTTCCTGTTATTTTTTTTTTTTTTTCCTTTTTTTAATCTTTCCTTTTTTTTCAATTACAATCCTTAAACGTAACGCGATCTAGTTTTCCCTTACTGTTGGCAACTTCCGTTCCATCGACGTCGTCGATCACGGAGCGATCGTACTCTCGTTTGGAACGAGACAAAAAGCGTGAACCGCAGGTTCGATTGCTATGGAGTGTAGCATTTGGTGCAGTGCTTCTCGATGATTTATTGATTTCGCTGCAGAGTGGTAATATGCGTTTTTTCTACCTTTTTTAAGGGAAGGACATTTTTAGTGTTTCACACCTTTGTCGATTTTCCGATGGAAAAATGTTTTGCAATTTTGTCGACTTTCGCCATTCAAAACTTTTCGCGGAATTCGTCCATTTTTTTGTTGCAAAATGTCATGCCACTGTGATAGGTTTGCGATTGAAACGCGATTTGCAACTTTGCCCATTTTTGTGTACGAAAATTTAATCTGTCTCGTAGACTGTCGATTATTTTTATTAAAGAACATCTTGCGATCTATGGCGAATTTTTTGATCGAAAAATATCTTGTGATTTTTCGTTTTTTAAATTTCGACGATGCTTCTGACTCTGAGTTATTTAAATTCGGTACTTCGTTGGCGGTAACCTTCGTATACAAAATGCACAATGGGAGTATAAGCTATACAAAGAAATAAATAGAAATAAATTTTTGAAATGTATAGAGGAAACCTAATTATAAAAACTGCGTGGCCAGAAATTTTTTACGAATTCCATTTCTGTTCAGATAAAATCCGTAGGTAGTTAGTATGGTAGTAAAGATATCTCGCGAGAGATTACATCTCGGAAAAAGAATCCAGTTTTCCACCAATTTTATACATCCTAGCAATCTCTGAGATTAGAGTCACGATTCACGAGATATTCCGTGAAATTAAAAATAAAGCGGAGAAATGTCATTAAAAATACCAGCGTGTACCAAACGATCGGTTCTATCATTTAAACGTCTCAGAAAATAAAAGTATTTTCAAAGTATTCGAAAAATTGAACCAATCGATAGATCCAAAAAGCGGTCTCCAAAATTTAATCGTCGAAACAAAATTGCAAGAGCGTAGCTGGTTCAAAGCTTGGCAGCAACGCTGAGAGATATTTCATTTTAGCCAATCAACGATCGAACGGAAACCCCTGTGTGGAGAATTTCTTCTGGTTATCGTGGAACGCGCGTCGAAGAAATTACACGTTACCCAGGGTATCCTTATTTCTCGCAAATTCACCGAGCCACGCGTTTAATGGGCGTGTAGCACGACAATAGACACGGTCTAATGCAGTCAATATCCCTGGGCTAATGATAGCCAATTATTCCATCAGCCATACACGCCGCCTTCTGCGAAGAGTAGAAAGGGATTGCACCACAGAAGTAGCGTCATCCAAGAAACACAGTGATCGCGTCATTGCTGAGGCAACGAGATATTTATGCGGGGTGTGAGACGTAATTGAAATACTTATCGCGGAAAGGTAGTCGAAGATCTCTTTACCAATGGAATTGGACTGCAATCGAAGCTTATTTTTCAATTATACAAGGATTTAATTGAGATTTCTTTATTGCAGACTAGGTACGTCTGAAAGCTTCCTTTCATATACTAAACAATCACTGGTGGGTACAATATCCTCATAACGTGATAATTATATAGAATATACAAGGAATCGAAATTACTCTAACATCAATATTTTTAATATCAAATAAATTCGTGAATTTAAACTAAAAATTAATAAAAATTATCATTATTTTTAGAAAAAGGTTACCTAAATTTTTCAACCTTCTCATTTTAGGCAGATAAAATAGGTGTCCCTGAATTACCTACCCCCACTTATAGATACATAATTCCACAAAGGAAATACTTGTGGTATCGTCGAAGAAGTGGAATAAGAAGTGACTTCAGCTCACCTCGATTCCCAGTGAAATGAAAATATCGTTTCAACGAAAGTAGACAATGAACGGAATAGAAACGAAGGAATGTAAGAAGAAGAAGGCGTGAAAACAAACGTGAAATCGTGGCAGCTAAGAATAGTCGAGGCCAACGTTGCACCGATATTAACCATCTCTCTTGGTATACACACTCTAGCCACTATGTGCTGCTTTTCGTCCTTAATAGCCTATTGTCTAGCAGCGCGCTTGTTAAGTATTTTCACTACCTTCGCGACAATGTTATTCGGGGAAGCGGGTATCTGGCGATGACAGAAGCATCGTCTGAAACTACACCCAGCCATGTATAAGCTGGGCATTAATATACGCGAGTTTCGTTCACGCGAACGCGAAAGCTTCTGCCAAGAGTCGCTTGCTCTTGACGCTGACACATGAAAATCCAGCGGTGAAATATTTAGAGTGTTTTGGAAAATGCCTCGCCATTTTGGTCACTGTTCTCGATTAACTTTGGATGATTTGTTTGGATGAAATATCACCGTGTGTCTCGTGCACCTGGCTGGAACTATAGCTACGAAATAATTGAAGACACGCTTGGTACGAGTCAGAAGATCATACGTTTAGACACTTGAATATTAATTTCATTGCTTTTTCGTTGGAAATGTTTGATCAAGAATGATGAGTTTGAAAAATATCGTAATTTTATTTCTCCAAAATGGTACGTGCGTTTAATCTACCATCTGTGTCCCTATTGTACGCTGAATTTTGTAGAATTGAATTAATATGAATCATTAAATATATGATAGAATACCAGGTGTATTAAAATATTAAATCTAACTGTTTTTCGAGATGGTACCACTAATTTTCTATTTTCTATTATCTGTTATTAATTTGTTTCCCTTTCTATTATTCGTTTTTGAAAAAACAAATTTTTTTAGACGAGTTGTCTATTTTTCTTTTTTCCTAAGTACATCGGTGATATTGATAATAAAATTGAATTATCAAGAAGCAATTGTCGCGGATTTTTCATTGGGCTCCGTGATCATCGACGAACATTTGTGATGGAAGCAAAAGAAAATGATTTTTCGACTGGTTCACTTGGCTCGTTTTCTTTATTTCGTTCTAAAAATTACGGTTTCGAACGCAGACAACGCTTATCGATATAATTGAAGGTATCACAAACTTTTGATGACCTCTAATTACGTTTACCATATATTGTCCCTATGCTTATTAATTAGTTAAAGTGATTTAATCGGTAATCTCGATTATTAGTCCTCGTTCCATGCTTCGATCGAGGTTCAACCTGGTGATCTAACCCTTAAAGTGAAACATCGTGATAGCATATAATCGAAACGTCGAGTATTCTATACTTCGTGGAAAGATTCGAATTAAAATTTGCATGCTAAGTGAGAAATTTTCGAGAACTTAGCTTACATGTATTCATCATTTTTGTAATTCCTAATACACACGTTCCTTGATTTTTCGAATATCGTAAGATACGCCTTAACGTGTAATTTACATTTCAATTTTTAATTTCCCTTAATATTCAGAGAAACTTTGAGAACGGCGAGGCAATTACTACGTTACGAATTTACATACTCTTTCGATCGATCTAATTTTTAATTAAATTTCTAGAACCTACATTTCACTTGCCAAAAGCTTAAAGTACGACACGAGGATTATGCTTCGTAGATAATGAATTTCCATGCACCTCCTTACTCGACGAAATTTTCTACGTTTATTTGTATCCGAGATATCGAACTTCCTCGATGATGAGAAAAAAGAAAAAGAAGTTAAATTTGATATAGCTTATTCGAAAAAATGGTGAACCAATTTTCTATGGATTGAGGCAAGTCCCTTAAAATTCCACGATATTCCAAATTAAGAATTCATCACCTTGTTCCAAATCT